TTAAGAAACATTGAGTTAACATGCCAGAATCAAAGCATTCAAGCCGAAAAGCTAAACCTAGACCTAGTACACTCCTCACTGGGACTGATTTTTCTAAAGTGCTGAGCACATGGTTTTACTAAAACAGGATGTACTTGATTAGTACAGGACATACATAATCCTGACACATCTGAGCATCTCAGTGTGCCTGACTCATTTACCCTTAAAACACTGACCCACTTCCAAATCCTCTTCCCCTTCATGAAGTAAAAACACAATTAGCAAAGTTTTACCACTGATGGAGGCATGAAGGCTCCATCAGTGGTCCCAGGTCTATGGAGGAGCAGAACTGCATCCCAGCCTCCTTGTGCCACAGATGTTATCCAAAGCTTTGGAGCTACAAACTAAAACTTCCCAAATATCCTGTTTCAAAAAGAAGCATCTCCCTTAAGAAACCTGAGAGACATTACTCAAGATTCTTTTGTCTGGAATGAACTAAATCCTGGCTTTTAACCCAACTTTTAACCTAAGTAACCAAATTTACAAGCTGATATGATCAGCTTCACTGTTCTGCTTACTAATAATTTTTAGGTACTGACCAATTACAATCAAATTTGATGGAGGCTCAGCCAAATTATGTTTCTTTAAGATGCAAGAAAATCTGAAGCCAGGAAGTTGAAAAATACAAAACTTGTGCCCACAGAAAGAAACAGATAGAAACAATTTAATATTTCCAAAGGCAAGTAAGAAATCCCTGTGTGAGGGAGCATCCAGTTATACCCCTCAGTATGAGAAAAGCTCAAATCAAAGCCAGTCCTGCCTTTTGCGTTTCCAACATGTAGAGAACATGGGAGAAAGCAAACATCTCGCGGAGGAGCAACCCACAAAAGCCAGCAGAGCAGCTGTGATGTTGGCAGTGACAGACTATCAGTGATACAGGACATAAATGTGAAGTTGTTTCTCTGTAGCACCACTTATCTGGGACATTAATAGAATTATTCTAAGATGAAGGCAAGATCAGTAAATGATTCCTTATCCTGAGTTTCCATCAGTTGTTCAAAGCTTCCACGGTTACTATAATGTCATATATAAAAGCCATTTCTTCATATAAAGCTACATATCATAAAAAAGTGTTACAGCACTGCAACTGAAAAATAGTTATTCATTTTCTGTGTATTTTGAAAGTAGTTTCTGCACCTAAAATGAACTGGCTTATTCAAAACACACTGTAGCACTCATATCAACAGAAAGAGTAAACCTGATATAAATCAGGTTTGCATTTTGCAAATGGATTGGCTCAGGTTCTGTGCTACAGATATGTAGGTCAAGAAGTCAGTGACTCCTGAGTGAGGAACTTCTTGTACTGTGAGTAGAATTTAACTCAACAGCAAATCTTAAAGTATTTTTCTGATTTTATAAAGCAAGCTAAAATCCTAGAAAAATGTAGATAATCAGGACTTAATAAAAAGCTCACCCCCAGGTCTCCCTTCAAACCTGTGCTGGGCAGGACTGCAAACCCAGTTTTGGGATTGGTAACTTCTCATGGTGGGCTCACATCATGTCACCAGGCAGCCTCCTCAGTACCTACCAGGCATCTTCTGAACAAAAGAGTCACTTGAACTGAGCTGTGGTAAGAGACCACAATTCCTCTTTGCTCACAGCCGTCCACAGATGTGCCAAAGGCCATCAGAAATTCCAGCTGCAGACTCACACCTCAGAACTGCTCATTCTGCTCTTCTGCCTTGTCCTTGGTTTCCATGAAGGATTTTCTCCCTTTAAAGCCTCTTGGCTCAACACACTGGGCTTTGAAGTGATCTCTGGCTCTTACTTCAAATGCTGCTGCCACTGCTAGATCAAACACAGAGAAAGCACAGCAAAGTAATTTGTGTTACAGTCAAGTGAAAACATGAATTGCCACATCATGTTCTTGGTATGCACAGCATGGTTTGAAACCCAGATCAGATGGCACAAGATCACCCCATTCTAGCCCTGCACTTGCCTTCTGCAACTTACAGCTGTGACTTTCACACAGCCTGGCAGTCTGCCTTGCCTCAGCTCCCTCTTAAATTAGGCAGACATATTCCAGTGATGGATGTCTGAAGGTCTCTTACAATCACATTGTGGTAAAAATAGATAAGGGAAAGAGAATTTCCTGTTCCAAGTAGAATTTACGTAAATCATTAATAATTCATTATTCAGTATTCACAAAAATTCTTCCAACTTAGAATGACCACTATTAAGAAATGTTGTAACTTCGGACACGGAAATGAAAAAAAAAAAAAAAACAACCAAAAAAACTAACAGACATGCTTAAAATTGTTAAAACCTATTCATTTGGAAAGGTCAAACCATACTTCCTGTGGGTGTACAGGATGGAAAATGCTGCTGGCCATATTTTCCCTGCGGTATTCTTTTCTCTGGTAGTTCTAGTTCAATACCATACAAGGGAGAAGGACAGCGGGAGGCCAAGAATGTCACCAGTCCAGTGCTGTCAAGATGAGTTCCACTGCTCCAAACACAGTAAAGAAGCTTGGCAGTTCAGGGAGTGAGAATCATTCCTAGAGCTTCTATATTTCCAGTCCAAAATTAGTCAAAATCTGGTCACATAGGTCAGTCACTCACTGGGCTTCTGGTGGGGCTGTGTCACAGTCTAACCCCATAAGCAGCTAAACAGCACCCAGCTACAGTTCTTTAAACACCAAGTGTTTCATTTCTGCTAGGTCTTCCCTAGCTTTTGCCAAGATTGATATTTGTTATCTCAAACATGTTAGAACACAGCCTTCATACAGCCACATGTCACCTAAACCTGAATGAAATCTTCTACAGTAGCTTACTACAAACATATGACAGGACTAGAGAACCAGTTGCAAATTCTTAAATGGGCAAACTGATCTATAAGTAAATCAACAAAGCCTTTTAAGAAAAAAATAGTTGCTATCCTACATGCACCTCATGCTAGACTCTAATTACAGAAACCCTTTTAAAGACAGGAAACACTTAAAGTTTACATTCTCCTGCAGGGCTCTGTGCCACTGGGAAAGGAATTACAATCCAGAATAGTGTGATGAAAACCAGGTGGGCCTGAAAAGCTAGAATTTTTGTTCAAAATGCACATGCATTATCATCTGTGACTGGTTGACTCTATCCTCAAGTCCATACTGCAAAAAATTAAAGGCACAAATTTCTGATTATTTTGTATCCACAGTTCCAACATCAGTTAGTCTCCAGAATATTACAGAACAGTAGTTTGCACCACAAATACTTCCCAGGAAATAAAAGTCCACACCACAGAAATCCCCTTACGCATATAAGGTCAAACAAATGAGTCATTTAAGGGAAAGAAGCCAGACATTGCAATTGACCCCAACTAAGCATATGTATCTAAAAAAAAAAGTCAGTGAAAAGGAGATCTTAAAGGAAATCCCAAAATAGCGACAAAAGAAATGCCAAATCAAGACACTGAAACAAATTAAACTCTCCCATCACGTTGTCAGGTAATAAATATATAATTAAGGCACACTGGTGTTTACAAAGACTGTGGCAAGGTCTTTTTTAGACATTAATTTTTCTTCCTAATGTTTCCCTTTCACTGCTAAATAATTTCATTCAGAGGACAGTTTTTCAAACATAGCTTTCATATCATAAATCTTTAAAAGCCTACAGTCAGTCTATTATATTTACTTTCTCTTCTCTACACAAAAAAGTATTGATCTAAACATACCCTACAACACTATTTACACCTTAGTTGATTATTATATCTGATTCCTTTCTGAGAAATTAATGTAGAACTTCATTTGAATAGCTCTTCCTTAAAAATGTATTTCCTAAATATAAATAGAAAGAATTTTCCCATACAGGTGTGTATCCATATGCAACTTAGAAAGCCATGAAGGCAAGACATTCTTATTTTCTATTCTTTAATCATACTAACACAAATCATAAACAACAAGAAAAAATGTGACCTGAATTTAAGAGTAAATAGTTCATTCCTGTTTCAGAGGGGGAAAAGGTAGCTAAAACACAACTCATTGAAATAGCAGCAGCGTTGTTAAATCACACAGCTGTGGTGGTAATGATGGGACTGCTTTCTGAAATGAAACACTCAGACAATTGAATTGACCTGTTGTTCCCTGACTTACACTTATTTTAGAAGGCATTAACAGAGTGCTACATTTCTCTTTTAGAGTTTTGGTTGGTTTTGGTTCTGACAACAAAAAAATAAATGTATTTATATCTGAAAAAGGGCAGCAGATACTAAAAGAAGGTGTATGCCTATAGGACAGAAGCAGGTTATTCCTTATTGCAAAGGAATAATAAATAAATAAATAACATTTAATCATTTTCCCATTTTCTGAAAACTGAAGAGTATCCCAGCTCAGCAGTGTTCCTACCCATTTGCTCTTGTCTGCTGTACATACAATATCATATAACTTCACTATGATCCTTACGATCATTTTATTCACACATCTGTAGCAGGATGCTCTGTCTGGGATGCAGTAAAGGCTTGAGCAATGCAAATTTTTCAAAGCTATCATTGGGAACTGAGAGGCGGTGTCATGCTGCTTTTGGTGCTGAATTACACAAAACCAAATCTGACTCATAACTCCAAAGTTAAACATGCTGATAGTGAGGTGAAGGTGTGGCAGATATTGTAAGGTATCGTTATCTAAAGACGCTGAGCTGACACAGCTGACTTCTCCATAACCATATGGAGACAGATGACTGACAGTGAACCACTTTATACTATAAGAGTACCATTTATATATATACACTATAAAAGTGGCAGATGGCAGGGATTTCCAGCACACTCCTTCTTGGAGCATCCTTGGGTGGGGACACCTCTTAAGGTGAGCTAAAGATGTTTGCCCACAATCATTGGTATGGGTGAGTAACATTGATCTCTACTCAATAATTGTTTCTTTTTTGATAGCTTTAATATCATTGCTTTAATACAGTACATTATTATATACTATATTAGCAGTGTTAGCTTCTATACCATGTAGTAAGTAATTCTGGTTAAGATCTTTTTGTTTAATCATTTATCGTAATAAATCATTCATTTTTATTCATCTGGCTTGCCATCCTTAATTCTGTGTGACAAAATTGTACAAAGGTTCAATCAATGTGTATAATTCCTTAGACTTATACCGTTGACCAAGTCTGGAGCTAAGATTGGATCCAACCACTCCCAGACTCCTCTCTGAGGAGTTAAGAAAGCCAGAGGTCATTCTGCACCTTGTGACTCTATGGGAAGGCTTCTCTAATAAACTTTGAAGCTCCCACTCCACCCACAACAGCATCATATATTCCATTACCTCGTGTCTTTTTAGAAACAGGTTCTGGAAATGCAGAGCTATGGTTGTTGTCAAACACTTTATTTTTCTACTTTTTTTTAATTTAAAAGTGAAAACAAAAAAAGCCAAGAAAGTCCCAAACAACCCAGAAAGAGGTTTAAAAAATATCCAGGATTATTTTGAAGTCTCTTTTTCATATGAAGTGTTTCCTCATCTTTTCCCCAAAGAACAGAATACTTTGCGACATTTTAATTACACTGCCGATAAAAGTAGAAGTAGTAATCAGTAAAAAACATTCCAGCAAAGTAACGGTCTGTTGAGCAGCTAGCAAAACCCTGCAAAAGAAGAATAAAGGAGGTTCATACAGGAACTTCTCTCAGTTCAAAAGCTATCTGTCTTTTGCTCTGCTGCCCTTGGGAAAGGCTTACCGGCACAGCTACGCGGAAGGAGTAGGCGCTGTCATACAGCTTGGATACAGGGAGAGCCCAAACGTGCTGGCGTCCCTAGGTGACAAATGAGAGCCAGATTAGATAACCTCATTCCACGGGAAACTGGAGAGGACAGACTCTGGAAATATTTCATTGACAAATGCAGTGCAAGATAATTATGATACCGAGACTTGATAACTACAGGCAAAGTATTTAAAGATCAAGTGCTGACTTTAAGCCCTGCAAATGTGGGTTTACTCTGATCAGCTCCACATGCAGGAGAACTGGCAGGCATCTGACTCCCAGTGACACTCAGCTGCCTCTGAATACCTGGATTCCTCACTCGTTTTCTAAGCAATTTCCCCCCAAAATAGGGATTGTTCCTGATATGCCAGGTGGCCTGAGAGCTTTAATTTGTAATACTAGCAAATGGCGGTTCTGCTGATTTTGGGACAGCAAAGTTAACAGTGCTCAGAAGACAGATTTCCTCCTATATATTCTAAAGATACGGGTAGAGTCTTCACTCACTATTTCAAAACCAGATACCTGCAAGCTTTCATGCTATTTTTTATTACAGTGTTCTGCCATGCAAAAGTGAAACAACATATTTTGTACCTGAAATATTTATGCTACAATGAATAAAACAAAATCCTCACCTCTCTATTACCTAATGATCCACAGTAACTTACATTTCTAGTGTCTCAACTCCTTTATCTTTCTCTCCTCACTTCACTTTCTGACACATCCTCTCTGCTGGAGACAATATGTTCACATGCCAAAACCTACATGGGACTGGTGAGTCCAAATGATTGCTGTTCTGCCTTTTGGTAGGGTATAAGCCTTCCCATCCCTTGAAAAATCCTCTTAAAAGAAACCTCTTCAACTAGGCAGCATTTCTATTCTGAGTCACATCAAATCTGAAAGCTTGCTGCTGCTGGAGGCTAGTTAGCTTTCATCTTTTGATGTGGATTTCAGGTTGACACAGGAAATCTCTTTGACCAGTTTTGTCTAAGCTTCAAGGACATTTCTGCATTGTGGAGCTCTCTATGTCTGACTTATGTCTGACTTAATTTCAGTTCTGTTGAAATTACAGCAGACAGGTCAAAACTTGGAAAATTTGGGCTTTTGGATGACTATGCCACTGTCATAGAGAAGCCTGAAACTTTTTGCAAGACATTTGAAAAGTTGAGCAAAAAGTTAGCTGGAGGTATCTCACGTGCTGTAATCTGACTAAGCACAAAAAAACAAAACCCAAACAACAACAAAAACAAATTAAAAACATGTTAGGTATGGGTTCATAGATCAGAATTCTGAAGACTCTTCTCCAGAAGAAATTGGAAAATACTTCCAAATTCAGAGATGTTTCTCCTACAATGCGTTCAGAAATGCTATTATCATTGTTTCTGCTTTTCCTACTGTTTTAGCCAGAATAAACATTTCTGAACAAACATTGACAAATAGGGGCCCTGAAGGAGGCCTTTATGTCCAGGGTGCATGAAGAAAGTTTAAAGCCTTCATCAATTTTCTGGAGATGCTTCAAGATTTGCAAAACCTGGTCACTAAATATCTTTTATTGGGAAAATCTAACCTGTTTTACCAGCTTTTATCCCTGTTGAGGCAATCCAGAGAATGACATATAAACAATTTTGCTTTTAAAATGAAGAATTTTCCCTAGAGGGATTTATTGGTAAACTCCTGTTCACACAGAAATAAAGCAGAACACTACCATTGTTACAGGAAATTCTAGACTTTAAAACTGGAATTAATTACCCATAAGATAATAATGGAAGGAGTTTGGAGTATTCTCCTAAAGTTCTGAGTGATAAGTTATTCCCATTTCTTAAATATCTCTAGAGTTATAATAAGTTGTAGTGGTGGCTTAGACTGCAGCAGAATCAAAACTGTCCTTTCAGAGAGTTATTGGATAGATTTTTATAAAACTGACTCCAACAAAAAGACTGCATCCCATTATATCCATGCCAAAGCCAGCCATGACTGATAGACTCAAAGTGCCAGCATTTGGATTTCTAGTACTTCAACAAATATTGGAATTTTGCAACCATTACTTTCATAAAAAGGATTCCCAAAACCCAGAGTATTGCTGTAAAAATCTTACCTGTGTGGTTTCTTGAAAATTCTTCCTAGTGTTTTGGCTTGAAGAATAATGAGAGCAATAATTTCCAAATGTGACTTTGCAGAGAAATATAATTAATGGTTCTGTGGTGCTTCAAGAAACAGAGAAAAATAAGGATAAATGGCTTTATTAAAAATAAAATCAGTTGCCCCCAAACCACAAACCAATATTCAAAATACACTCATACTCAGTGAAACTCTGTATATGATGTATTAATCCCTACATGGGAGGGCTATACTATTGGGTTATAATGGCATACATTTAAAAGACAAATTTTCAGTGGCTGTAGAAAACAAGCAGTACTTCAGGAGTACTGTTATATTTCATCTTATCTGAAAAATGCAGAAGTTTACAGGGATAACACTGAAGATCAAAAGACTGGACAAGTCCTTTGTTTCAGAGACAGAAGTCATGAACTGTTGTCAAGCAGATTGTTTGGCAGCTGTTCTGGCTATTGCTGGCCTTTCTCAGAATAAAGCTCCAAAATAAATAACTTGTTCCATCTGGGAGAACACAGTGGAGGTCGGCTTTTGAGGAGAAAATACCTGCTGAAAGGAATATGTCTGCTGCTTTTCCCTGCTGTAAGTCACAATTTTATGCAACATCAGAAGTTCCTACAGAAGGATCCCCTTTTACAGGGCTTGGCACAACAGGCCCAAAGAAGTACTCTCTGGAGTTACTCATGTTATGTTCCTAATAATGTTTCTCTGCAGCAAAAGAAAAATCAGATCCCTAGGCCAGAGACCACAATCCTGCTAATGCACACATACATGTCTGCTCGAATGCTTATTAGGATTGAAGCTTAAGACTTCTGGATTTCAATACCTGCAACATCGGGTGAAATCTTCCTTGAGCTGAGAATGGTATTGGGCCTATGCAACAGCAAGAAATCTACTCAAAAGGTCTACATTAACAATTTAGTTGTGCATAGATTTTTCACACTCCTCTGAATAGGACAAATTTGTATAACAATAGACATCAGACAAGAATTCCTATCAAATTAAGAACCACTGTTGTCTTTTGCACATATTCCTTTTAATTGTACTTACTTTATTTCCAGTGAGATTTCTACATCCATGGGTGTGTATTTGTTAATAGGAATAACATAGCTGTAGTTTCCAGAGCTGAAAAAGGTTGTGTTAATACACATGGAATTTTGAGATAGACAGTATCTTCACCAAAACATGGAAATTGCACTTAAATTTAAACAGAAAAAAACATAAAAAGGTATCAAAGACTATCATACGCAAGAGGAAACAACTGTGACCAGAAGCAGCCAGGCCACAATAATGGTGTTTTATTCTACTATAGCATAATAAAACAGTTGTTTTTATTATTTTATTAAATAATAAAATAATAATTATTAAAAATTCACTACCTGCATTGCAGATTTTTACTACAATAGCGGTTGTCAATGCTTTGCTGAGTTTCCAAAATCTGTATGGAACTGATTGTTGTATCAATCCCTAAAAATATTAAGAACAATAGTTTTTTCTTTATTATTATAGAAATCTTAGATAAGAGCATAATACAACTGCAGTTAGTCTACTGCCTTGATTGCCACCACAGGACTTGCTGCAGGTCTAAATTAGCACTCAGTTAAAAGCCCCTGGTTGATTACCATCATTCTGCCACTGGAGATAAGAACCTTGTTCAGTTTGCAAGGACAAGTATCCTGGGAACCTAACATTGCACCATTTTCTTTTGGTCTTAAACATCAACAGATGTTGAAGGCTACTTTGATGGCAGCGCAAGTAAAACTCAAATATGCCAATACTCATGTTAATGTACTAGCAGCCATACTCATTCAAGTAACCACTCACTTAAAAAACCTCATCTTTGTTGAGAGGAATAATATGGAATACAACAAAACTTGCTTCTAATTCTCTGTGGAAGAAAACTATGCAACTTAAATGAAAATTATTATTTCTTCATATAATATTGCCTTGGACTTGCAAGAACTTTTGTTTTTGCAAGAATTTTGTAATATTCTACAGATAGATGATGAGTTTATACTCATAATCTAATGAGGTTTATACATGTTTATAATGAGTTTATACTCATCATCTATCTGTAGAATATTACAAAATTATAACATTGTTTTTCCCTTAGGCAGACACCGCGTGTCTGAGGTTGCTGTCCAAATCCTTCCTGAACTCTGGCAGCCTTGGTGTCATGACCACTTCTCTGGGGAGTTTGTTTCAGTGCCTGACCAACCTCAGGGTGAAGAATCTTTTCCTAATATCCAGCCTAAACCTCCCCTGACACAACTTCCTGCTGTTCCCTCGGGTCCTGTCACTGGTCACCAGAGCAAAGAGATCAGTGCCTGCCCCTTCTCCTCCCCTCCTGAGGAAGCTGTGGGCCACCAGGAGGTGTCCCCTCAGTATCCTCCTCTCTAGGCTGAACAAACCAGGGGATCTCAGCTGCTGCTCATACAGCTTCCTCTGCAGACCCTCCACCTGGGGTTACGAGGTGGTGCAGAAAGCACAAGGAGGACTTGGCTCAGCAGGCCCATGCCCTTCACATCAGGCTCTGCACACTGGGGTTGTGTTTCTGCTCCTCTGTTCCACAGCAACCATTCGCTGTTTTGCAGAGAAACTTGATGAGTATGGGGTGACCTGTTCTCTGATTATAAAATCTCTGTGTGGTAGTAAATGTTTAATTTTCAGCATACAAATATCTGCAAGTGTCAAAGGGAGATTGAGCATGTTCATCTCAGAGAAGTAGCACAGGGAACATCTCCCTGTGACATAGCAACTCATTACTCATGAGAGGATCTCATCTGAGGTGTGTGTACCCATGCAAAAAAATCAGAAGGGGAATTATTTTTCCCAGATCATCCCACTGGGGGACATCCAAGCAGCAAGCAGAACTGTATTCTATTCCTCATCTGCTTTAAATGCATGGTCTAGATGTCTAAGTCTAGATGTTTTATCATCCAAACATTGCCTATTCTTTAATCAAATATTTATTAAAAAAAAAAAAAACAAGCCTTAAAACAGAGGATTCACATAAACCAAAAAGACACAAGGCATAATCCTGCTCATAGTGAATGAGTGCCAGAGCATGCTGTTATAACATATGTAGTCAGCAGATACTCATCTTTGCATAAAAGAATCAATATTTTCAGCCCAGGCTGACTCTGACAGCAGTGCAGAGTCACTAAAAGGGAAACCTGAAATCAAGCCAAGCTTCCTGTGTCAAGGAACTTAATTTCATCTCCTCTGAAGGCAGTGTCAGGATCTGAAGGTAGGGATGGCCCCTTTGAGCAGTTGACATTTTAATCCCTTAGGTGAGATGAGGTAAACCCCAAACACTTCCTTCACACTGCATCATGAGTTTCCTGCACATGAATATCACACTCCTATCCTTAAGCAGAGGATTTTAGTCCCTGCCAAGGAAAATGCCACTTATCATTTTATCGTATCTGAAACAAAGCCTAAGAACTCTCTAGAAAGGGCAGTCAGAATGTCTATAAAAATCTAATTAATATGTAAGAATAAACTAAAAATTACATGAATCACAGGTTTCCTGTTGTTCACAGGAACTAAACTCACAAGTGCTAATTCTCTATAATGATGAATTATAACTGAAACTTCCTTAAAGTCCAGAAGCAGAATTCAAAGCCTAAAAGTAGATCTTGAAAGTTATACAAGTAAATATTTTAATTTTTTTTTCATTTAAATATAGGACTTACAGTCATTTCCAAGATCAGGTCTTCCACCAGGTTTTTTGACAGGATCTCCTTTGGGTAACGTGTCACTTTTGTTCCCTGTAAAAGGATGAATGTACAAACATTCCCCAAATTAGTCTTGCACAATTGTAACAGCAAAGTATGACTACAAAACCAGAAGATATTTTGTTAATTATCTCTTGAATAAAGGTATGCATAACCATGAGAGAGATCATTAAATTACAATGCACCTCCATTCAGAAGAAGATATACACAGTCAAAATAAGTTTGCAGATAACAAGTTTTTGAAATCTACAGAATATCAAAAACATTTCTAAAACACAGCCTAATAGAAAAGACTTCATCACACAGAGAACACCACCAATTTCTATAACAGAGAGCCAAGCTGATAGTCAATATGCAGCCAGGCACTTCCGCACAAAACAGAACATAAAGCCACATCTTTCTTATTAGTGAGAAAATGGCATTAGGAATTACAGGCATCTGGTGTGCAAATACAGGCTGCAGGAATAACCCAAATTTTTGAATGTGAGATGTTAAGATACTGAGGAGTGAGCCAGTACTTCAGAGAGAGGATGCATAACCAAATAAAAAAAGCTAACACACGTCTCTAATAAATGATCACCTTGTTCCCTGATGTCACCTCTGTACCTTCACACATGGAACTAGGCTGTGTAACATAAGCTGACAACTTCTGTCTTTAATTGTTATTCTATTCATTTTCTCAACACTTGCCTAGAAAAGTGATCTTTAAAGGTATTTTGAATAATCATCATATAGTACAACCAGGGAAGGCAAATGGCCCTTCAAGCCCTTGGGAAATGCTATTCCTGTGCTTCTACACAGATTGCCAGCTAAGAATCTGTTCAGAGGCAGGCAACTGGCACTGAGAAATGCTGATTTTGCCTAAACTAACATGTTTCACTGAATAGCACTTCTAGAATACCAAAATACTCCATTACTAGGTTTTCCAAAGGAAACTTTCTGATTTCAGAATGACTGTTTCATTATAGGAAGCAGGGATCAAAATGCGTTATTACTGAGACTGAAGCAAGACAGCTGGATTGACCTTATTGTTTTCTTATTCATTCCAGATTTGGATTTCATTTCAGTATTGGGAAATAAGAAAATCCAGACTTTTCTCATGCTAGTAGGTGACCAAGAGCATGGAGCAACATTAACAAATGGAATCCAAAGGCCCAGAAGCAATGAAATACAAAATCATCTTTGGGATTTTAATCTGCCTTGTGTTTTTTATAAAACTCTCATACTGCTGCCAGCTATTCCTTGAATTCATTTCCTATTTACTAACTCATGATACAGATCTACAGGTTCTGCCAGATTTGGTGGTAACTGCTGCATTCAGTAATCATCTGCTGTCCCATTTCATTAAACAGTTCTGCACACCTAGGAAAATGGTTACTGAACACATGCAGTCACTAATACACACACACTCATCTTGGGGCAGATCTAATTAAAGCCTGTTCATTCTCTCATTCCTCCTTCACAAACTAATTGTCACACATTCATTTTCTCCTGACTTCTCTTAATAGTCCAGATGTGCTAGCAATGCATTAAACACTGTAATTTTGCATTTTCATTAACAGAGAGCTATTCTGTAGAAAACCTATGTCCCCTAGTGGAGGTAAAAGATTGCTCTATGCAGATAAAATAGTTCAGCCCATGCAAGTGTTGATGGGAATATTTACTAAAAACTTGGAATTAGTAAACACTTAAAATTTGGTGGAAGAAAGCATTAAGCAGTATCAGAATTTTGTACAAAAACCAGGAAAAAGACAGATTTCCTTCACTAAGACTTCCACTATTTACACTAAGTCAGTAACCAGCATAGAACTTTAGTTTCACTTGGGTTTTTACTCATCATAGAATTATAATTTCATTGTCCTTTCAGATATTGCAATCTAAATTTTGAATACAAGGTGCCAATTGAGAAGACCAAGAACTACCACAAAGCACCACAGCAACCTTTAATAAATTGTAAATAAAATTCCACTCTCTCACATATAGTAACACTGAGGGTTTTCTCAAAGCCCCACATGGGGTGTGAAGATCCAATTCAATAACAAATAACAAGCATGACAAGAATGTAATAAGGAAAACCATCATCTTCAGATAAGATGAAGAAAAACTCATCCAATAAACGTAGTATTTTTTTCCCCTCAAATACTCTATGGTTTTAATTCAAGTGAGTTGCAATATTCTGTAGGCAGCATGGGAAAAATCAGCTGATGATTTCTCATTGTGGTGGTACTTTACTATGAATCTGTTAACTGCCCTCTGAAGGCAATAAATGGGAATGCCTGAGGCTGACCAAAATCCAGCAGGAGCTCTCACCAACCTTTTATTGTGAGGGAAGAGACACTGGGGAGAAACAACAAGTAAGGACAGCTCCTGGTTATTGGTGGCACTTAACACTAAGGGGAGAGCAGTGAGCACTAATGGCATGGAAGCAGAGAGCAGGAAAAACCCAAATGCTGGAGGGTATTCACATTCCTCAATTCCAGTGAAATCAATGGAAGTTCAAAAGCCTAAATCCTCCAGAGAAATCAGTTAAAAGAAAATATGAGGAAAAAAGGTCACATTAAGCTAGATGACATAAAGATGTGCTGAGTTTTTGTGAAGTTCAAAAGCCTAAATCCTCCAGAGAAATCAGTTAAAAGAAAATATGAGGGGAAAAAAGGACACATGAAACTAGGTGACATAAAGCTGTGCTGAGGTTTTGCTTAATAATTTTTCTCTTGCTTATGAATGCTTTTGCTTCTACTTGAACTTTCTGAGCAGCCCTTTCATCAACAGCTCCGGGATGCAAAGGATTAGGAGCTACAATGTATGCAGTAGTCTGCACCCACAGAATTCAAGTATTGCATGTGGAGCAGCAAAAGGTCTGTAATAACTCTTGAATTAGTATTTAATTTAGTTACAATTTCAAACAGCTCTACCTTTCCATGAATCGGACTGATCAGCTGATTCTAAAGCATCCAGTTTTTATCATGATTATTCCCCATATTTAATGCTTAGCCTTTTTTTCTGAAAACATTTTCCTTTTCATTTATCTTGGCTACAGCTACATTAAACAGCTTGTTGGTTTTCCTTCTGTTTGGATTTCATGTTGACATTGTTACCTTCCATCTGGGGATATATTCAGGTTCATTAAACTTGTGCAGAACTGAAATCTTTCAGTGGCTTGTGTACTGTGCTGATTTTTCACTCTTGGATCCACTCTTAATGCTATTTGGAGCATAAAACCTTGAGAAGGTAATGCTTTGTGTTTATTCTTATCTTCTCTTTCCACCTAATATCAGAGGCAGCCAGCTGAGGATAGAAGGTTTTCATATTTCATTTTTATCTATCTATAATTCCTTCATTTATAAATGAGATTAATATCTTCTTAATTAATCAACACTCTTTCAGGTTTCAGAGCAATATAAGTCACTCAGGTATGACCTCTTGAAAGCTGTACTGAGCTCTATCTGCCACAGGGCTTACTGCAGCACTGATCACAAGAATCTCAAGGAGCACTCACATGCAGCTTGTCTGCAGAGCAAAGAATGGCCAGTGGGTGAGCCCCACTGAAACTGCTCATGCTGAGAGAGCCACAGCCATTGGTGATGCCTGCCCTGGCAGACATTTGTACTTCAGAATCCCCAGTTTCACTTCACTTTGTCAACTGTGCTGCCAGGATTGTTCCCAAGGCCAAGATAGGAAGAGTATGAATGCTGCTTTAGTAATAGTGACACTTGCTTCCACACACTGGGTATGTTAAGGACTCTGAGAGAGGAATACACATTCCCACAAGTTATGCATACCTTTATGCATTAACCCTTTCTTATAAGTATTATAAAAGTTGTAAACAACACATCTTCTCATGCACTACACATATAATATCTGGCAGACAGTATCACTAAAATAATTAATTCCAGTAAAAGTATTTTATTTTACAGAGTTCTGGCTTCAAATATTACTGTTCAAAATCCCTGCCTTAACAATCAGAGTTTTAAGTGTAAGTTTTATGTTTTCAGGCAGTTGGCATTCTGTCTCTGCCCATAGAAAAGATGTAGTACCACCACATTGTGACATAATTCAGTTTTTTGGAGTTTTTTGCACCTGTAAATTAATTCTCTACAATCCTAATCAACTCACATTCAAGTGTAGCCAAAGGTCAATTAAAGGGATTAGTGACTTTCCAGTTCACATCAAATAATTTACCAAGAATGGCCAGGAAAAACAGTGACACCAGACAAGATATCTTAGGGCCCCAAATTCTTAAGGGTAACCAGACCAGATTTTTCAAAAACATATTGACTGCAGTGATGATTAGTTATATCAAGATTTTTTTAATCCTCTGGACTAAGCTCTTTTGTAGAAAGCTAACTACCTTTAAAGATTCTGGCCCTTTCCCCACACTTTCCGTTCAGCATTCATCCTCTGCTCAAATTATAAAGAATTACATTTTCAACTTACGTTTTTCCTTTGCATTATTTTTTCCATAACTTATAAATTTGACTTTTGGTTGATGAATTGGACAACAATAGACCTTGTCACAAGGTAAAATGTCACAGAAATTCACTTCAGGGATCCTGCTGATGGGCTGTGTGGTCTGAGAAACTGTGCTTTCACTCTGCAATGCTAAAAAAGAAAGCAAGAAACAACAACAACAAAACCAAAATATAATTCCCACAAATGCTGTGCACTGGCATTTTATAATAGCCAATTATGTGTATGCAGACCAGCAGAGACACAGTACCTGCTGTGGTAGTAGAGGGAGAGACTGGAACAGAACTTGAGGTAGTGCTGATGAAGAAAAACAATTCATTAAGAAACGGACATTAGAGTTGAGGACCAAAATAAATTGATCCACAGTCTATTAGTGATTCTACTAATTTGAATTCACTAATGGTGATTTAACTACTTGCCTGTAAACTGGATGATTTTCAAAACGGCTGTCATGAAGGCTAAGTAAATACAGGCTCCATATTGTCAAAGCACTGTAGAAAGAGAATTGTTCTGTAGATTTACGTCCATCTTTTATGCAACACAATAGGAATAATACCTTGACAGCATTGTGTCACAATGCAGTCATGCAAGTGTTAACTATCTGATCACTTTAGTGGGAATAAATTCAGCTGAATTTAATGGGGTTTAGATCAAATACTTGTATACAGTATTGTGTTCATGTACTTGTATTCAACACAAAATACAGCCACTTTCCAACCTAAATAGAATCACACCACCAGTTCAAAGTACTCAGGTCACAAAAAGATTGATTGCAACCCACAGGGTTTTGGACTGGCAATCTCAGAAGTCCAGAGCATACTTTCCTTTCCACAAGTCCAATGTCACAAGTTAAACTTCCAGTCACATAATTGCACACCACAGTGGGAACGAGTTCAGCTTCATTTCACACAACAGAATCACTCTGTACATCAGAAATTGTACTTAGGCACAGAATGACTGGATAAAGCATGCAGAGTCCAGGTTTGCACCTGTAGTACAAGCCACTGAGGTAGACTCAAGGTGCACCATTCATTGTGAAGTGGAGAGAGATCAGTTATGTGTCCATTCCATGAGTACCTTACTTTTATACAATGGTTTCAACTTTACAATATTACCAGGGATATTAATTGTTAATTTAAATACATTGTGTTCTTCAAGTAGGAAGGGAAAAGATGAAGAAAAAGTGCTATATTCTTTCAGATAAGTAGAAAAGGGAATGGAGAAACAAGCCAAATTGTTGTTAATTAATTGTTACCATAGTGCCATAATAGCAATCAAAGCTATTATAGTCACCCGGAAAATCTTCACAGATTTGGTCTTTGATAAGCAAACCTAGGGTAAAAAAAAGTTTGGTTAATTCAAGTGGCACATATCTAAGCAACTACGAGTAGATTAAGAAATACTACACTGGGTTGACTTTACATCACCTTTGTTTCTTTCCTGATGACCCTTATATCGGGGTCAACGTCTACAGAGAAAAACGTCAGTAATTAAAGGTCCCCAAGACTTTCAGTGCATTATTGTTAATTAATTGTTACCATAGTGCCATAATAGCAATCAAAGCTATTATAGTCACCCGGAAAATCTTCACAGATTTGGTCTTTGATAAGCAAACCTAGGGTAAAAAAAAGTTTGGTTAATTTAAGTGGCACATATCTAAGCAACTACTAGCAGATTAAGAAATACTACACTGGGTTGATTTTACATCACCTTTGGTTTTTTCCTGATCACCCTTATATAGGGGTCAACATCTACAGAGAAAATTTTCAGTAATTAAAAGGTCCCCAAGAATTTCAGTGCATTGTTGATAGTTTGGGGGCACAAACATCGTAGAAGAAAGGATACATAAAAATAACAGCTCCTTGTCCTTTCTTCCTGCCATTTTTTATTCTTTTGAAGTATTTCAAAATCAAATAAAGAACTCAGTAAGTGTCCAGAACTAAAAGCTCAGCAGCTCTCATTATGTGCTCAGACCGTGTAAAAGCAGGACTGGTACAAATACAGAAGAAAGGCACATTTCAAACAAGTAGGATAATCTTAGATGATGGACTGTCATTATGGTACAAAGCATATTTGAGCTGTTATTTTCTCTTGCTCTTTGGCACTGGCACAAGCAAAGTAGGCAAATGAGCATTGGTTCATATTAAAGAACAGGACTTGGCAGCCTAGGAAGACGGTCTTGAAAAAGGTCAATAGATGTATTTCCTCACTTATACGATCTCTTTGAAAAGGGGTATCAACTTCCTATACTATGATACAGGCAAGAGAAAGTGAAAGAAAGTCACTCAAACATGCATTTCATTTCACTCACCTTCCTGGATTTTGGTGGGACTGATTTTACTGATGGCAAGAGACTATTAGCTCGACTATACCTGCTGTAAGAGACAAGATCTCTTTAACATTCAAATGCTTCAGCAAGTAATGAATGAAGAAAAGACATTTTTAATGTGTTAATATCACTTGCTTTTGCAATTTTAACATTTACAAAGGGAAAGGCAAAAGTGTCAGCAGATTCATTTTCAAGGATAAAGGTTTCCAGTTAATTCACTCAGGTGAATGCTCTTAAATGCTACATTTGATTTCAAAGAAAACTTGGGGAAATGGCTTAGAAACAGGAAACACTCATCACTTCCACTGAAGCACCAGTGAAGATTCTTTCTTGCAGAAGCAGCTTTGCAGATTTGCTTTAGAAACAATTTCCAAGTCCCGGAGCTGTAACTGGCCATAATCTACTCTTTACTTTATGCAGCAGAAGCAATTACAAAAATTACTGCAATTTAACAGCCATTTCAAACATTAATTTCATCAGTGACTAAAAAAATTTGAGAAATTTGGGGTCTTTTGCACAACTTAAATGCTGGAAAATAGCTGAACTCTACTGTCAAGTAAAATCGGTTTTCACTTCTATCACTTTAGAGATCACCTTAACAACTTGTGTGACAGCTATGAGAGAACATCCCAGCCAGAGGTACCTGACTTTGCTCTCTTCACTGACTGTTGACTTTAAACTGTTGAGCCGTTTCAGCCTGGCCAGTTTCCTATTCCACTGTTCCAATTCTTCTATTCTGACTTCAAGATTGTTTGTTAGTTTACAAAGCTGCTTTACAGCACCAACATTCTCCATAAAGATCTGATCCTGAGAAGAAAACAGTGACAAAAGTAGACACATAGTAGATACATAGTATATTCATCAATCAGAAGTAACAAGCAGAAATTAGTGCAGAATTCACCTATATAAACACAAGTTATCTCACTGTAGATGGGATGCATGTATGACCATAAAACCCTTTTGCTAGGCATTTAATTTGCAGTAAATTGTAAATGAGAACATGCAGAAAAATTTGAAGCTTAAAGGGCTTTTTACATCAGGAATTTAAACTGTATTTTACCTTCATACCATGTTGAAACTTTAACACTGTTCCAACAGGCATCTATTACTTGATTTTCAGTGCTTTAGCTGAACACAGATTTTAGAATCCCTTAGCAAAATGTATATCCAACCATGTCCCTACAGGCATTAGGTAGGCTCAGACAAACCATTTTGTACACATAATATTAATCACACAGAGATACTTGAGACAGATTAAAAACCAAACCAGATGTCAAGCCGTGATTATATAATATTTTGCTCTCCCCTTCAGCCTCTCAAGTCTCTTACAGGAATCTTGTAAGTTCTAATAACATAATCATCTCTGCAACTAAAACAGTTTAGACACCCTCCATTTACTCCTTCTGGATATTTTACTCAGGAAAAGCCTCCTATTCTCCTACCCCTGCTTATCATCTAGGTATCAACCTGCACTGGAGATGCCCTCAGTATAATCATCCAGGCAGTATTTTATCCATTTCTGAGTCAAAAATGGTTATTGATCCACTGCAGGAGCACAGTAGAATACTTTGTTTGTTGTGTGTGAAAGAATGGCTTTCTCATAATAATGTCCAACCAGACTGCTGTCATTGGATGAAGCAATGACTGCAATTAATGTTGTTGTGTTCCAGTCTAGTCAAGTTATACAGAAAATAAAAGCAGTTTTGCCTTTCACATTGTTAAAGCCACGCACACCTTCTTTTAAAGGTGACTGCATTCCACAAAACCAGTCAGCATTTCATGCTATCAGAATCAGAGCACATTATCAGCTGCAAGTCACAAGCTTTCCTACTGCCAGAATACCAAGAACCCATTTAAATAAAAAGTGACTTCAAAATAATCTCTTGTACCTAGAACTGTGAAATCACATATATGGACACATGCCCTCGTATCAATAATACATAGCAGCTGCCCTTTCCATTGTCTTCAAATCAAGCATGAATTGTTTCTAGGTGGCTTCAACTAGCTGAGAAAATTGCTCTTCTCACAAAATGAAGGAACACTCTATTTGAGAGGAAAAAAACTGATCAGAGTTTTACTGCCCCTCTAGTGACAAAGTACTGAGCACAGTGCGAATGAGAAGAAAAGATTCTGTTTCAAAAAACCAAATTGCATATAGTTGAGACATTTCTCTAGAAAGCAGCAGACCCTGGTTCAAATGTAATGTAATCAATTAGTTTTACAGAGTTCAACTGCTCCAAACTGATAAAGAGACAAAACAACAGCCAACACCCTACTTATCTGGATATAAACTTAGAATATGAGATAATAAAAGTTCAGGGTCTCATCACCTGCCAAACTGAAAGAAGAGAAATTTAGTAGTAGTAGTTATAGTAATAGTAGTAGTTGTAGTAGTAGTAGTAGTAATTCAAGCTGCTAAGCTATTCTGGAGCTGGCAGCTCCAGAAATTTAAATCAGATGTTCCACCTGAACAAGACATGTTCCAAATCTCTGAATTCAATATACATCTTAAACCCCAAAGGTCATGGAATTGACATTCATGTGCTCTGCCACAAGTGTTAGAAGAAAAAGGAGAAAGCACAGAATTATCTGATCATATTAAAACACCAATATGCCTGTGAAGTAATCCCAGATCCAGATCTAGACAAGTAGTCAAGAAAATGCTAAGCAGCAAATAAGCTATTGCTGTAACAATCCACTCCTGCTTGGACACAGGAGGATCATACCCTACAGGCATGAATAGAAAGTAGGCATTCTCCATTTGTAGGTCACATCCCTGGGAGACATCCTGGCAAGCACTCTCCAGAGAGCCAAGGTACAGAGAAGAAAGGGAACATGATGGGCCCAAGCAGCAGTGCTGTGAGGCACTGAGATGGTATTTTGTGCGATACTTTTTCAGCAAGGAAGAAATATGAATCAAAAGCTCAATTTTCCAACCTAAACTTCTGCCAGAAGAAAAACCAGACTACCTCAAAGAAATTTTGGAGGCATTCAAAAATGCAAATGATGGTACAGGTGTCATAGCATATAACTGGAAGGCCTAAAGGGCAAAATTAACTTGGAGTCACCTACCATTGCTCTTCTGCTAGTATCTAGAAATCAGCTACAGGCTGGAACCCTGACCAAACAGAGCAAATTTTCTAAAAATCTCCTTTCCAACAGTATCTTCAGAAGTGCTCTTTCCACAGCTTTATTCAAGGTATCTAATTCATACTTCTTTTATACGGAATACCAACCAGAATATTTAATTTAAATTATCTATAGCCTATCAAAAGATGGCAAGTGAAATATTTTTGTTTTCTCCAAGTTTGCTGATGTAAACCTCTATAGAATAATGAAAGAATGCATTATGATAATGAATCCAGGATTGTGTTCATTATATCATCCAGATAAGGTCACCTTTCTCTAAAACCTCCCTCTTCTCATGATCAGCTGCAAGTGGGAAAAAGCTGGGAATTGGTCATTGGCATGCAGTGAACCAGCACTCAGCAGAGGGGCTGCCTTGAGCCAAGTGCTGTCTGCAGCCTTGTGTGACTGGACTCTGTGACTGACAGTCCCTTGCAGCTGTGTTTCCACTGGAAAAGGAGGAGAAGAGAGCACAGGACAATACCTCAGCAGTGTTTCCAGCCTATCAGCATGGTAACTATTTTGTGTGCCATTTCATAGCATATGATTTTAAATCTATAAAAAGCATTTCAAATTGCGAAAAAAAGCCCCTACACACAGAGCTAGCACTTGGATTTGGTATGTAGAGGTTATACCAGGATTAGAGTAAGGAAGTTTTTATTTAACAAACTGAATGCCATCATTGCTTAATTAACTGAAACACTTAAGAACAAAATAATGTTTTGGAGTACCAATTTTTGAACCAATGCTATGAAATCACTATCCACTTATATTCAGAAAAGTTAGGGCTTTTTCCTTTTAACTGTATGTGTATATAGAATTGTAACCAGTTTTTCATATAGATACTTCTTGTCATTAAAAGATTCAGCCCTTTACTAGCAGCTGGTGGTTCAGTTTTTCTCCATGATTCGCCAAACACCATTTCTGTAACACATGTTGGGGACTACAGCTTTTTATGGGGCACAGCATGTGTTCACAGCTCCCCACATAAAAGAACAGTCTAAATGCACATTCCCACTTTCTCCCTCAAGACCATACCTTGTCAACCATAAGGAAGTTTTCTATTTTTTCTCCATCATTACAAGCAACATCTCCAACTTCTCTAACAGCTTCAGGTAAAAGCCTCTTCACTTCCTGGGCTATTATTCCTGTTCAGGAGGTTACAAAAACCAATGTCAAGAAACACACTGGCATATCCATTGACCATTCTAAAAACTACAGCCAAAGCAAAAAAATTATCTAGAATTTCTCTGTGGTAGGAAGATCCAAGATTTCAGGGATTTTTCTCCATTCCACAAGGAAAAAAAAACAGAAACCTTTAAAATTCTCATTTTTCTGCAGAAAGAACAAAATAGTCTGTAAGCACATACTGCATTCTCATTAAACTTCTGGAAAATAAACTTCCCATCTTTAAGAATTGAAATAGAAGTTGTAAAAGTACAAGCAATACCTAATTTTGGCATTTTTATACCACAAGAGATACACAGCAAAGTGTGAAATTGCAGCAACTTTAAAAATGAGGATGAAACAGCAGGATATTAAAAGACACTATGGCACAATAAATATCAGTAGATGTTAATGAAAAATGGGAACAGAGCTGACTTTATACCTGTTTCATGGGTATCTTTTATTCCCATAACAGATGCAAATTCAGGCTTGTAGTCATATTCCACCAGCCTCATTTGTGTTATTCTTTTTAACTGCTCATTTGTGTCGACCTAGTTGGAAAAATACCAAGACTTACATATTGAAACATTAAGCATGGCATCTAGGACACCACTGAGAGAGCAACTAGCCTGACACAGTCATTTGGACAATCATCAAATAGAAAAACACAACTTTCCCATTCCCTACTACCAGAGTGCTATTTGTATTTGTACTGCCAGTTCCCCTTCTGTTTGACAACTCCCAGCTTCCACAGAGAGCCTTCTCCCAAGTCTGTAGGTGGTGGTTCTCAGAGCAGTGGCACATCTGCCCTCTTTAAGCCAGCCTTTCAGCACAGCCAGGATGCAGGAGCTGCGACCCCCGCGTGCTGCAGCGCGACCAGAAGCGCCCTGGGGCTGCACGGGGCTCACCTCGCGGATGTTCTGCTTTGCTCGGCTGTCCGAGGGGTGCATGACTCTGCCCATCACCTTGGCATTCCCACAGACCACCAGCGCTTCGTCCGGCGCGTCCGTGTTGATGCCCACGCGACCGTGGTAGGCTATGGTCTCTGGAGCCTGCCCTCGCTGCCACAGCACATCGCTGTCGCTCTCAAACTGCCCTGGGTTAGATGCCTGGAAGGAAATTGTTTGCTTTAAGAACAGTATAGATGCACTAATGTTTATTGTTGCGGTGTGATGTCATGGTTTGCCTCAGATACCTCGGGTTTCTCTAAATTGTTCGCTTCAAGAACAGTATAGATGCACTAATGTTTATTGTTGCAGTGTGATGTCATGGTTTGCTTCAGATACCTCGGGTTTCTCCCTGAAGACTCCTTCCCCAGGTGTGTCAATCACCCCTCCTTTCCCCACCCTGACTCCTAAGTACTGCTTGCCAGTCCTGGAATTCCAGAAGGCTGTCGAGCGATTGGGCAGATTCAAAAGATGCCCTCCACCCCTGGGGGGCATCGGCCTATCCAGGTTTCCTTTGTCCCTTGAGACCTCCTCTCCCATACCTGGTTGGTGGTCCCCGCATTCCTTCCCTCCCCTCTCCCCTGGGTAAAAGGGCAAGCAGACCACGCGTTTCGGAGTTCTGTTGGAGCTGTTGCTACATTCAGAGGCCCATGGGCCAGAATAAAAACCCCGGATTGAAACCTTCCATCAGAACCCACTCCTTCCTTCACCATCGCCTTAAAGCTTCTCCGGCACAGGGAAGTCTGCGGAGCGACCCTCTACGAGAGGAAGCTCATCCCACCTCCACTGGAGCTCCCACATGCCTGGGCTTGGCCCAACATGCCCAGCTGCGGCTCACAGCCAGCCAAAGGTGTCTCTGGGGTGAAACACCACAGTTGCCACCATTTGGTTCAGCAGCAGGGGCCAGACAAGCCAAGGCTCGTCCCATTCAGCAATATTGGTAACTCCAATAGTTTATTCTATTATTATATTATTCTATTAGAAATACAGGGAAAATGAAAAGCCAGATCTTAAATATTGAAATTGTATCCAAGAACTTTTTAACACACTAACAGAAAAAAACAGAGTGGCATTATTTCTAAGGGTTTCTGCTCACACTGCACTGGCCTTGTGCTTTTTTCCCTTGAATTCTACTTTATTAGCACCTTAAGCTAAATTGGCAGTGCCCAAAGCTTTCCAAATTTTAACTTTGACATTACACCACATAACCATTCTTTATCTACCACTAAATTTTAGCTGAGACTGGAAATCAGAAAATAGAAAGCAAGGCAGAGTTTAAACACGTGATTCATAAAATCCTCTGTAATGTTTTAAATTAACTCATCTTGAAAATGTCATGTCAAGGAAACAGGGTCTTTTAAAGAACACCAATAAAACCAAGAATGTGTGTAACAAGAAAACGATTTTATTCCAATAGTTCATTTTGGGTTGTTTGTTGTTTTGGTTTTTTTTTAAACTTTGTATTCAGGCCAAAGCACAATCAAGATAAAAACAAGCCAGGCTTTCACAAGGCTTTGCCAGCTACAAGGCCTGGCACTGTGTACTCACCACTGTTTGTCACAATTAGAGCATGATCTGATAAGCCTGACAAGCCCCACTCAGCTGGTAGCTTTGTTGTGTTGGAGTGCATAAAGGGCCAGAAGATGAGCTGCTATTCCTCACAGTGCATTTGCATGGCTTTGCCACTTTAAGGTAGCCAGTGGCTGACTGGCTTTACCCTGCCACTGAAGCCCTGTTAGACAGGTAGACAATTTCCTTTTTTTCCCTTCTATCTTTCCTGTTGATATTTTCACCATTTCAGACCAGAGCCTCTTGATCTGACTTTTTTTTCCTCTGTCTGAAATAGTGGCCAGGTTTGAAAAATATCACTCCATGAATTCCTGTTCAAAAACTGTCTAACATGAATTGAAGGAGCCCTCTTCATTGAAATTCCAAAATAATCTAATACTAAAAATAGTTGGAAATGTAAATTTCTAAATCTTACATAAAAATATATATCTTGTAAAGTAACAAGAATGAGACAATTGTGAAAATTCAACAGCTTCCCCAAATTATTAATGATGTGATATCTGTAATAATGTCATATCCAGAAAAAGAAATTCAGATGAAAACAGGATTGTGGAAATTAATGGACAAATAAGGAAAAATAACTATATATGCAGGAATAATGCAAACACACTGCTTCAGCATCCAGCTGAAGCAAAAAACCCGCAGCAGCAGCCAGGATGATAAAACTTCTCAGCCATGCAGCAAACTGCTGAACTCCACACACTGCTTTCAAGGTCTCATCACAGCTCCACCCAGAAAGGAGCTCCAGGCCACAATGCCCCCCCAAAACCTAACTATCACTACAGAAAGAGGGTTTATGGTGCAAGGGGATGCTCAGATGAAAAAGGAGCCAGGACTGAAACCATCTGAAGCCCCCAACTTCCTTTGGAAACCTCTGAGCAACACCCCACATGCTGGAGATTTGCCCTTTTGCTCTCCCCAAATGCAAATGCTAAACCACACCATAGTCATAAGCCTAGGCAGGTGATGGGCTGCCAGAAAGGATGCAAGCAATGGCCTGCACAAAACAATGTCAGGACTAAAAGCTTCTGACAGCCCTTGACTTTTCTTTAGAAGCCTCTTCCCAGCTCCACTTAATACACCAGTTTTTGGTCTTTCTTGACTCCAGGCCAAAATGCAAAGCCTGCTCCCCTCCGTAAGCCAAGGGCTAGGAAGAGTCCATGCAAACGAAGCAGCTCTTCGACCGACCCACATCAAAAAGCCGTAAGCCAAGGGCTAGGAAGAGTCCATGCAAACAAGAAGCAGCTCTTCAACTGACCCACATCAAAAAATTCAGTGCACTGCAATCTTCCAGAGGCCCTCTCCATCTTTTGCAGTCCTACCACACGGCAGCTTTCATATTTCCCATCTTTCTAAGCCCTAAACTTAATATTCACCCTAGAAATAACTATAACTCCAGACTATGCCCAGCTCAAACATTAGCCACCACCTACGGATCACAAGAAAAAGGAGCCAGGACTGAAAGCTTTCAGCAGCCCCCACCTTCCCTTGGCAGTCCTCTTGCAATCCCACTCCTGGCACTCTGTGTTTTCCCTCTCTCCTAACCTCAATTCTCCATAGCTCACGTTACACTACAGGTCTGGGTTTTTTCTCTTTTCTGAGTTAACAGTAGGCTAAAGCTGAGTGCTGAAAGAAAAGCCTTCTGTGAACCAGGCAACTGAAAAGTAACAGTTAAGAGATCCTGGCACTCTGTGTTTTCCCTCTCTCCTAACCTCAATTCTCCACAGCTCATGTTACACTACAGATCTGGGTTTTTTCTCTTTTCTGAGTCTAACAGTAGGCTAAAGCTGAGTACTGAAAGAAAAGCCTTCTGCAAACCAGGCAACTGAAAATAACAGTTAAGAGAAAAAGAGATTATTCTTCCTTTTGTTGATATGAAACCTATATTGCTGCCATCAAAATGAGAGGTGGGACACTCTGGAAACACACTGGAAAAGCAAAGTTATAAGCCTTAAACTTCCTAGAGCTGCTTGACCTTCTTTCATTGTTTTTTTTTTTTATAAGCCTTAAACTTCCTAGAGCTGCTTGACCTTCTTTCATTACCTTTTTTTCCTTCTCATCCTCCTTGGAAACTGAAGACTCTAGCTAATGAAAGATTTTACAAAATTCCTGGCAAGTGAAGTAAACTGTTTCACTGCAAATGAAAAACAAAGTCTGGAGAAATCAATATATTTTGTACTGGAACTCATAACAAGCTTTCTTTTAAAATCCTTCTATAGCTCTACTTATAACATTTTAAATTTCTGATAATTAAAAGATAACATACTCATACAATATGCAACTGTAGGCTTTTTCCTGAATCATTTTTACTCCATGGTAACTTTTATCCCCAAGAATCATGATCCCTCAATCTCCTGTGAATATCAAAACAGTAAATACTTTTACATGAAAGTAATACAAACTTATACCTACCCTCACAATGATCTTTTCAGAGACATTTGCAGATAGTAAGTAGAACTGGTCCTGAGAGACAGCATACAGTCCAACCACCAACATGAAGTATCTAATTTAAAATTGATTTAATAAAGACAATAATTGAAGTAATTCTTTCTCACAGAAAAGAAGTTTTATATATAGCTGTTATTATTGATATATAAAAAGACAGATGATGGTTTTTTAAATGTATTTTTTAAAATACAAAAGAAATAGTATTTCCTTCACTCTTAAGAAATATGCTTTTACAAGCTCCACAATCACTGCTAACTAGCAAAGAATATAATAATTTTTAGAAATTCAAGTAATGAAGCTTGAAAGATGAAAAGCTTTCCTGTCTCTGAAGAATATGGTCATTATTTGGGTTTTTTTGCTTCCTGATTTTGTCAGCCATTATTCTGGCTATGATTTCTTGAAACTACCTCTAACCATGAGGATGAAGTTTTGGGTGTTTTATTCTCATATCATTCTGTGACTGCAGAGAAAGAGGCTTTTAAGAACATACCAAATATTACAGAATTTAGAAAAAAACTACAGATTTGATAGCAGCAATTTTTCACAAACACTGGCTCCATTCTACAGCAGACCTTCTCTTTTCTACTTCTAACACACAGGCCAACTAGCTATGGCAATACCTCTGATCAGGATTAGGTTTCCCCTTTTTTCTCATATTATTTGCTGTTGTTTCACTGAAATGCAGCCGTCCCAGTGTTACTTTAGTTGTCTGGTCCCCTGCCAGATCAACTCTAAAACAGAAAAGAAAACAAGAGCAGGGAAGTTAATATTTGGAGATCAGAAGAACAAACATTGATTCTGCCAGTGAGTTAAAAGCTCAAGAATGGCAGAGCTCCAGAGAGATGCTGCATGCATGTTTCTAGCAGAGGCACTCCCCCTTAAAAAGCACTGTAAATGTATCTCATGCTCATATAGGGCAGGAACATTCTGACATTTTTTAAGATTGGAAATACATCTGTCATACAGCTCTAAGCAGAGTAAAAGAGTGTTTCCAACTGAATATAAATATTTTGGATAGCCACACTTAACATCTGTAAACCTGTTGAAAATTTCTCTTAATGAAATGTGACCAGGTATATATATACACACACACACATATATATATATATTATATATATAGAATATATATATATTACATATAATGAATTTGTGTATATATATATACACACACACACACACACATATATAATATATATATTATATATAATGAATGTGGTTTTTATATATTTTATATTTTTACATATATATATATATATTACTACTGTGATGCTCTGTGTGCAACCACAATGAGATCTGGATAAAAATCAGAAAACTGGCTTAGAGCTACTGTAAGGTTTCAAGAAACAGCTACTTCTTATTTCAAAACAATCATACATATTGAAACAAAATGGAATAATTTTCTCAGAAATCTTACTTTACAGGATGAAAAGTTTTTTTGCTTCGATCTGATTGAGACTGTTCAATAGCAATTGTTTCATTTGGATCTTCCACCTATAAAACAAAAACAATTTTCAAAAATGACAAGAATATAAAAATTTTAAACACATAAAAATTGAAATAGACATTATTACATAAATTGTGCCTAAAACAGTGAAAATGCACCCATTTCTAATGGAATGACATAGAAATTAATAGAGGAACTGACTGCTGGATCAATTGATAATTAGTATCTAATCTGAAGGCCCAAGTATTTCTGGAGATGTAATATGAAAGAGAAAAAAAGTCCAAAACAAAAAGAAAAATGCATTAATTTACAAAAGAAAAAGTGCTTTCTGAATGCAGACTGTTATTAGCTCATTCCATGCTCAAGCATATGTGCAGATATTCAATGTGAGAGCAGAACCTACGTAAGGTAGTTACATGTTCTTGGTCAAAAAATTACTAAGAAAAAAGTTCAATTATTTACCTCATTACACAGGTAATTAAAATTAATAATCTCAAAGAGGAGATACACTTGCCTTAATTCCATAAGCTTTCAAGTAAAACTTTTCTATTGGTTTCCTCCCCTGCTGAGTTTTGACATATTTTGGATGTCCAGTGATTCTAATATGAACTGTGATTTGGAAATGATTCTTCTTTTGGCACACAAAGGCATCATCTGCTGTTGAAAAATTAAATCCTTTATCTGTGACAATGTGATATCCTACAGCAGGTCTACAAAAACAAGGAGAAGGAATGGCAACTTTAAGTACTGACATACTAAGTGATATCTTGAGCTCCTTTTTTTTTAAAATGTGTTGCAAAAATCCACCTGATTTTTAGTGACAAACCTGGACTAAAAATACATCATTACAATCACCAGTTCTACAGTATTTTCTTCTTAGACTTCCAAAGGTGTAAAAATGAAAACATGTATAAAATGTCCTCTAATTCTAGTCTGAAAACAAAATGTTTGGAAACCAGAGGTTGAGAGGCTTGCATAATCCTCACTTACAAATCTGATATAAAGGAGCTCTGTGCACCTAAAAGCACAAACCAACCTTTTAGTGTATTCAATCATTCATTACAACAGTGCTACAAACCACAGTCTGCAGCCAGTGCTCCAGACAACAATGAGCTAATGAGCCAGCAAGACTCCCCACTTTGTTCACAAATTCCCACAGCAAGTGCTTCTGCAGAAGCAGTGGGATTCCAGTAAGGCTTTACTTAAGCTTAAAAAAAAAGCTATCAGTACCATCCCTCCAGCCTGACTTTAAGTTGTCCATCCTACTCTGAGCAAACTCTAAAGTAACTCTATTTTATTTCTTCAAAGGACAATTGGTCACCAAAGAGAAAGAGTATTGTGTGTCTATGATTCACAGGAAACAAGGAAAGGTATCAAAAGGTCTTTCTATTAGAGACAGTGAACTCACCATCCCAACAATGTTTCCAGTCCTCTGATTTAAGGATGGATAATTCTGAAATAACTACATGGCAAGGTTGTCTTATATAGACATTGGCTTTTCTTGTTAATGAAAGTTTGATAATGATAATCTTGTATAATGCTACTAAGAACCTCTCATTAACACAATTACTGAAGATGGATTTCCATTACTCTTCCATTATTATTTGGAAATATCAAAATGTACAGACTTCATAGGAAATATACAGGCCTTATTATTGTTTTATAAATTATGAACAGAAGTCCCCTTTCAAACAACTATTGATTACCTGGGACAGGGAATAAAGAGAAAACTACCTACTTCAAAATTACTAACTCATGTGTTACTTCATATTTAAAATGATAATGAAGATTCTACCATCTCCTCAAACCATCATTATTAACGAAGTAAAACTTAATCAGTTTTTTCCTACAATGGGTATATTTTTATATATATATATAGTAAATTAGTATATTTCATAGGGAAAGGAGTAGTTTTTCATATTTAGGCATCAGCAAGGTCATTAGCTGATATTGTTAATGCAATTTCAGACTATTTTCCTAAACACAGGCAAGCAGCCTGAGAAGCAAAATTACGAATGTCCATATCTCCAAGCTGCAGTGTTTGGATCAATGGCTCCCAAAGAGCAATTTCATATAATAACATTCTGAGTATGTCATTTATAGTAAATAAGAGCAAACATATATTTTTTTCTTAGTCCACAAAGAATGACGAGTCATACCGAGCAGTACAGCAAAATTTGGAATAACTTTTAGGTTGTTATAGATATCCCTGTCACACCAGGATCCCTACTAGAAACACACTTCAAATTCTTCTTTCTATTCAGAATTTAAGTCTTCAGAGATCTTCAGGACAGAGCACCACCAATACCAGACAAAGGCCAAGAATGTGCCAAGCAGACACAATGAATGGCAGAATAAACACTAGAGTAATGTTTTCTAATTAATCTACCTCAACTAACAGCATTTTTGCTGTGAAAACGAAACAACTAAGACGTTAAGTACTGTATGAATAAAATGGAAAATAATAATTAACCTGAGAAATACCCCTCAAATGGGTGCAGCAATTTGAAGGCATGGGATCAATCCATCTACACTAAGCAATGAGAAGCATGTGAGTGTTCTAAGGCCAACAGAATACAGGATCCCTACTCAGATAATCTGTGCAATATGCTGTATTTACAGTGCATCATGGAACAACAGCACTGCCATTGACCTCACTTAAAAATAATACTGACTTCCTCTGCAAACAACACCTCAGTGCCCTCCCACAGTAATGGCAACAGAGCATGTATTAGGATACTTTATTGCTAAGCATCACAGTCTTTGTTCACAAAGAATTATGTCTGGAACCTTAATTTTAGGTGTATGGGAAGCAACAAGTAGCTGGGCAGTGGCAGGAGAGCAATCTCCCACCATCAGCACACAGTCCTCATGTAGTCATTGACTGAAAGAGCAATCAGGAATTGGAAGCCTTCTTTTAGAGTGAATACTCATATCACAAACTCAGCTGGAGGTTTCTGGGTCCATGCAGCTCCCAAGGAGTGTAAAGGTCTGCTCTCTTGTCATGTCAATCAATATCTGAGGAGAAGGGTTGTGTGGGGCACAGTAGGATGTGCAACGCCCTTATCTCCTGTGTGCAAACAGGGAACATCAGTGTCCAGCAATGACACTGATATGCACCCAGATCCCATGAGACATTTTGGCAGGTTGGGTGAGAGGAGCATTAAAATTTACTGTGCTATGTAAGTCCCGAGTAGACAGTGACAAACTTATTGCACCAATCCTGAACAATTAACCAGATGCTGTAGAAAAGGGTTCATTTGTTAAAAGGGTTCATGTGCTAAATATTAGAATGATTAGATTAAAATCAGGGACATAAAGTGAATTTGGAAGGATCTTTTCCAGATCATGTGCCAAAAAAAAGTATTTACAGTTTGATTAACACAGCAAAAATCTAAATCTTTGACTGAACAGCTGCATGTCACCCGCATATCTATAATTATTAAGACTTAAGTTGTATAAGCCCAGAAGTAATACTGGTAACTTCTAATGTTTTCCTTTAATATTTTAGACCACCAGAGGAAATAGTGCTGCATGCTTCATAATTACTTGCCCCAATGCATTTGACAGAATAAACAAAGGTTACCAGGTATATTTACTCCCTTTTCTTTTGCCCCTAAATCCCTGAAGGGAAATCAGAAAACCTGGCATTAATTTCAACCAGTGTTTCAAGTTCAACTTATTTGATGAACCTGCAAGTTCATATTTCATCATACCTGTTATATTTCCTTCTCTGTTCTTATTTCCAATAAGAACAAGGGATGCTAAATGTATCATTTATTCCCACAAAACTACAACCGATAAAAAAAGAAAAAAAACAAAACAGAAGAAACCATTTCTTTTCAAGTGCAAACATCAGTGCTTACAGTTTTTCATAATTAGAGTCAAATAAGCTGTTCCACTGAGAAGTTTGATATGGCTGCCATGTAAGACCATGACAGCATTTTTCCAAAGCTGCATTCTGTCCATCACTGTCATATTCTTGCACTTCAGCAGCACAGTCCTTTACAATTGCTGTAGAGAGATAGTGACAATTCAGTTATTTCTTTGGGACTAGCAAAAAATTCTGCATAGACACTTTTACAAATATATTTACATAAATGCACATACATATAAATCATAAATGCATTGCATATATATTTAAATGTGATTAACCTTTGCAGTTATTCCACAAGATTGTGTTATATTCTCTTGCTCTAGAAAATAAATTTTTCAGCTTCCCTGATTTGCAAAACAAATGTTTGATTGACATGACAAGTAGTACTTTCTATTTTTTATTCTCTCTCTCAAAAGGATGAATAGTTTCCTTCAGGGGAGGGGGGAAGAGAACAAAAGCTAAGAATTCTACTGTACATCTGCAACATTGCAAGAAGCAATTAAGCAAAATAATTGCATTTGTTTCCCATTCCCTCTACCACAAGTTTGAATTGAAGAATATACTACAGGAGGCACAGTTTTCCAATAGCCCTTTCACCACTACATCTGGTTGATCTCCTTCTGCTTTCTGCCTATACATCAGAGAATTCTTTGACAGACAGGGTCAACCCCAATTCTCTGAGATATTATACATTTTATGAAGACAGAGGAGAAAGTGATAAGAGAGACAGATAAATAGAGTACAGCAAGGATAGGAGAAAATCTGTCATTGAGCATATAACTAAGATCCATCCACAGTCAGTGACAGCACAGTAAAACAACCTCCAGAGTCACCTCAGGCCCAAGCTTCATTTGCAAGCACCCACTTCTGACATACAGCAGAGGATAGATAGATAGATAGACAGACAGATATAAAAACACCACAGTGAAGAAATTCACATATGACTTCTAAATTATCCCCGTGCCATTTTCACCCATGTCTCTTTTTCCAATGCATGTGTCAATGAGATTTTATTAAGAATGACACCCAAAGAAAGCTTGTTTCAAAGCTATATCTTTCAGTATTAAAAACAGCAAGAGCAATTTCAGATATAGAAGTGTCTGCTTGTCTTCTTTTTCAGCAGTGGTTAACTTAGAGGACTAGTCACAACCAAGAAACACTGAATAAACAAAAGATATTAAAGAAAAAGCAACTTATTAAATCCATTAATATTCATTAAATATGTTCTAAAAGATTGATTTAATCCTGACAAATAACTTCTTCTGAAGAAATAACAAGCCACTCAGATTTTTCACTAACAGATATGGGTAAAATTCCTCAGGTAAACCAGCCATTACAAACTGTTCATTTAGAGTGAGCCTCACACTTCACAGAAGCTGATTCATTTCTGTACATGCCTGATAAGGTCTTTTGTATCAATTGGTATGAGGGGTTTTTTTATCTTGATAAAACAATGAACCAAAGCAATATGGGGAAGGTGGGAAAGAACATACAGCTTTTACCAAGCTTGCTTATGCATACACTTTGTAGAAAACAAAACATGGAGTGGAGGAGATCATGGGAAGTGGTAATCCCTTTATTCATCCACACAACTAATTCCCTGTTCAGCTGACCCAAAATTGTTTCTTTGCCCAATCAAGTTAGTGCCAAGCAAAGTAAGCAAAATATATTACCATTTCTGTAGAGGAGGTTCACATATGGAAAAGGGCAGAATATTCTATCAAGAAAAGCCTCAGGAAACATGAACCTCTAATGCTCCTTTCTCTTTGCCAAATAGAAATAAATCCTGGTTTTCCAAAATGGTAAACTGGGTAGTGGAGTAATGACCACTAATACCTTGTCTGAGCCAGCTGTGCTCCTCAAGTATTCACTTGTCTGTAGCATAAAACACTAAATTTCCTCTTGACACATTTGCTCACCTTGTCTGGAATCCTGAGACTGCACTGGAGAATCAATCCCATCTCCTAGTAATTGGGACAGCTTCCTTTTTTTGCTTGATGCTGCAGAAATACTTTTGTAAAAATACATGTTGCATTACTCCTTTAAAAGTGTAAACATAGATATTACAGAATCATAGCAAAGGAACACCCAGGTATCTCTTATCTCATTTTAACTGTACTGCCATCCAAATTCTGATTGGCTGAGGGAGGAGACTGTTGGTGGGTTTTCAAAACTGAATTATCTGATTTTCTCCTTCCAAAACTTCTTTTTTTTTTTTTTTAATTTCACATTAATAAAGAAGTTGATTCCATTAAAAAATTTATACAGTGCATAAGTGGCAGGGGTTTAGTTTCCTGACATTTGCATTAAAATTATAGCTTTTATCTTGAATAATTTTACTTTTCACCAGTTAATGTTAAAATACCAGAACATTTTAAATAATTGAGCATCCAGAACACATTGGTGGGTTGTATACAATTACTGTCATTGATAGGTTAATATGGCAGATAGTATACAATTACTGCTTCACTTGCTTACATAGGTATGATAATTCCTTTTCTCTTATAGTATTTGCTAGAACACTTACAAGATCCTCATGCACAAATCTCTACAACAGGTATTGCAAAACACCTCAATATTTTTATAATCCAGTTATGAAAACCTGTTGATTTCTCATTAGCCTTCTATTGTTTTAAAAATTGAAATGCACAATCTAAACCTCGATCAAGGTATTTTAAAGACCCCTCAACCACAAGTGTCTCAAAAATGTCTAAACACTGCCATCCTGTGGAAAATCCTACACCCACAGGGATTTACAACCAGTCTTAAACCAGTTCTACTGGCTTTGCATGTCTCACCCTTTGCATAAAAGCTTTATCATTTACCCGGAAATCTGAGATGCATTAGGCTGGAAGTATGAATAATTAAAACCCAAACAGCTGGAGGGTGTCGAATGATTCCATGGATTCACCGCATTTTCTGTCTTCAGGCAGCAGCCCTGGGAGGTGGTGCAAGGATACCCTGTGACACTGGGGTCAGGGTAGGTCTCCATGAACCTGCAGGGAAGCTTGCTCGGTGCCCCGAGTGATGGGCACGGGAGTGGAGGCTGCAGCCCACCGGGCCACACAGCACCACACCATGGGGCTGAGAGAAATAAGCAGAGAAGAACGTAAGAACAAGAGGAGCTGGAGATCTTCCTACAGGCTTGGGAGAGACCAAATTCATGTCACCTACTTTGTAGCTGTGGTGGGGAACACGGTTCTGAGCCAGAGTCTGGTGGGGAGTCTGGCAACTGGCTTTGCCTGGGGATGAAAAAGAGATTTTAATTTCTTCTGAAACAAGACACAGAGGACAGCAACAATGAATGCTGAAAGCAACTGGAGAGGGATCACCAGGCTACTGACAAGGGTCTTCAGGAAGCATTGCTCACTATGTTTGCTGCCCCTTCTCACAGGAGCAATGTCACCTACACTTCATCAGACCATCTGCTGCCTCTCTGCCATGAAGGAAGACCCAATCCCCATCCCTTCTCACCCAAATCCCCCTTCACAACCTGCTCACTTCAATCCTCCTTCCCAGGAGTGGTTCTTCAGTTATCTCCAGGCACACCAGTGACTCTCAACACATGGTGCTCACAAGGGATTTAAGCCCCATTCTCTCTAAACTAATGGTTAAAAATCTGTGGCATCTTCATCTCTCTTAAGGAAGAGAAAATGCTATGCCATCTTGCTGCCATTCAAAGGAGCTACAGAGGCTTCCTCTGTTACATTAGGAATAGATGGAGGTTCAAGAAATGGATTCTCAGTCCTTTCCTATGAATTGTCAGCTCAAACACTGCTCTGAAGCCTGATCTGAAACACAAGTCTTAAGGCTTGTGTTAGGCTCAATTAGGCTAAAATGCTGCAGCATTTTAGAAGGATGCAGAGGAAGGATGACAGAAATCTAATGAGACACACCTCCTGTACCAAAGCTGAGTGTTCTCTCAGAAGCTGAATAAAGAGACATCCTCGTATGTATAAAAGGCATGTTCACACACACAGAGCAAATATTTTCAAGCATCAATGGAAAATTTTCACTGTGTTGTTTCCACTGCAGGTTTTATATTTCTGAGTTTGGATAGCATTAAAGAGAGCAGTTTCATTTTTGGTTACTGCCTGTTGCTTTTGACATGTGCTTGTGTATTTCTTAAGGTATTGCTACTGGTCTTCTAACGTGTTACCTCCACAACCCTGCATTTTGGGTTAGCTTCAACCACATGGCTCCTCTTTAAAAATCAATTTTAAAATTACACACTAGAATATTCTTTCATTTCCTTCAAAATAGATTCTCTGATGCTTTTAAATACCATAACTACAACACTCTAAACTTTGTTTTCAACTTTGAATACTTAGTAAATTTTTCATTTTCTTTTTTTTTCCTGTGAGATATTTGATCCATATATACTAAATTCCAATTGTGCTTTGTAAAATTTTAAAAGATACATCCATAAAAGTCCAAAACTTCCCTTCTGCACATTCAGTTCATATTCTCACTTCAAATGTTGCCTTGGTACTTGATTTCTGCTTTAATGTAGATTATTTCACTAAAATAGAAAGACAATTTCTAGGAGAAAGTATTTATGATGTAAAGAGGTAGTAGGGGTATATATGTCCAAGTTAGGATTTCACTGAAACTGATACTGTGCTTTTTGAAGGAAAACAAAATAATCTGTAGTTTAAATGATTCTGCATTACAAAGAGTATATCAATGAAATCCCTACTCAGCAAAGGACATGGCAATCCTTTTTCTCCTCTCACTGATAACGTGGAAGGTATTACTGTGGAAAATGATGAGGAAATCACATGGTGCTTCACATGTAATGCAAGAGAAGAATAAATGTAATGCTGATGACCTTTCTGATGCAACATGATCTTTAATGGAAATTTCAAGGTACACCCAAGACCTTGGTGGTAATAGCACCCTTTTCATTGCACATGATATTATGGAGTTCTGCATTTTGTATGTATATGTGGAGGCTTTGAATATTTTTCTCCTTTGAAGTATTTTGACACGTTCCTTTATGAGATTCTATTCTGTTTACACATAAATTTTCTGCACTACAGACAAATGCTTAATAATTTGACCTGTACAGATCTAATGATTCAGCAAATGTTCTTAATGCCATAAATAACAAAATAGAACTCTAATATTACTGCAAAATCCTGTTCAGCCTCCAAAACATAATAGTTTTGGTTTTCTTGCATGTAAGTACTTTGTAGTACTATAACATCTAATTTACTTAAGCTACATAATAGCATACATATACCTGTTTACATTTTGGCTATACTTTATGTATAAAAGAAAAATAATAACATGTTTAAGTTGTCATACAGGAGTTCAATAATCTCATTAACCTAAAATGCGTTTAGTCACTCTAAAAATAAAGTTTATGGATATTTACATACAACTTTATCTTCATTCTTCTTTACTTTTGTAATGTGGGCATGAATAATAATTCATTATTCATGATTTAGAACAGTTAGGAGCCTATTTGGCCCACTTTAAGTAAACACGTGTTGCTGGATCTGTCTAGAACGAAAACTTCCATGCTTAATTATTTTTAAAACATCCCTTCTTGCTCTGCTTCTTGGCAAGTGTGAATATCACACTATTAATAGTATTTTGCCTTGAACAACAATTATCTGACACTTGTCTAGATTAAATATTTGGTGTTTAAGTCTTTGATAGATCTATACTGCATCATTTTCCACCTCTGACCATAAGCCTTTGCACTATGTATCCTTTGATAGTTTTAAAGTTAGTCTCAAAAGACACTGATGGACAGTTTCTGTTCTAAGTATTAGGGTGAAAACAGTAGCTCTGCTTCCTTCAAACTGGAGGACTTCTGTTATTTTCTCAATGTATTATACAGTAGCCTCACTTTTATCACTTATTCTGTACATAAACAGTAAATTAGCACTTACAGGAATGCTAAAGTAACAGCTCTGCATTTAATGTCACAATTAGCTAGACAGTCGTGAATCAACTCAAACTTTATTATCACTCATTCCATTGAATAAGAAGACCACCATATTTCCATTACTGGCTGTAGTTAATTTTTTCTAAGTCCTCCTATGCAGCTTCAAGAAACAATGCCAAGAGAACCACAACCCTCTTGAAACTCAGATTTTATCATGGCATAGATAAATTCTTTTTATCTGCTAATAAAACAATTCAAGAGCTGCAGCTAAGGAGAGGAAGTAAATGTTGCTATAATACTTACAAAGTTCCAAACTCTATGTCACTACTAATGAATTCTTCCAACAGGCTTGTATCCACCATGGGATTTTCCAAGGCTCCATGGACATCTTGTCCTAAAGTTAAAAGTAAAAAATACAGAAATTCACAGGGAATTGTCAGTGTCTCAGAATAAGTGATGCTGCTAATGGTCCTACACAAAGGAAAACCAAATCTGCTGTCTCATGTGTAACAAAAGGTTTATGCTTCTGGTTTAGTCACTCTGGGAAAAAGGATGATGAGAAATGCAGAGTAATTAACAATGTGCAGGGGCACTGCAGAGGACAGTGCAGCGCTGGACAAACACCCCTGAATGCACGGCATTAAGGCTTTGGGGAATTACTACAGCAGGATGATAAAGGACCACAGTCTGCAACTGAGAAAAAGGGTTCTGAAGATAGTTTCCAACTCCTTTACATTGAGGTCTTAACAGTTTTTTGGGTTGAAGCTCAGATATTGTCTTACACAGATCCACTTGGTGCATTAGTACTCACAAGTACTGCAATGAATTTCTGATCTAAAACTCCATTTAAAAATCCACCATATGAGTTTAAATAAAGCCCAAATAAAGCCTTAAAAATGTTTGATTGGTGGCTTCCTCTTATTCTGCCTAAAAAAACCAGCCCACTAACATGTTAAATGTATTAGCAAATAGAAAAGTTCAGTACTTTGTCCTGTGTTGCTTAGTAACTGAAGGCTATAAACAGGTTTTATGACTATAAAGTTTCCGGAATTCATGACAACTTTTGTAGAAAGTCAACTGGCACTCATTAAAAAACCCAGCCATGCAGCCTTACTCTGCAGCAAGCCTTCCATAAACACAGGTGTGGCCAGTCAGAATGCAAACAAGATAAGGACCTTGACATTCCTGTTTGAGCTGCAAGTGTTTCTTGTGAAGTCCCACTTCACACATGACAAAATGGACCAGCCCACACAGCCAGAGATGTGAGGCTCAGCCCTAGAGTCTGACCCCAGCTTGGCAGCAGCAGAAAACACAAAAGGTTAATCTCTGCCTCTGAGCCAAGGAGTAGTCACTGCTTTCAGTGCACTTGCTGTCTTATCACTGTCTTATCACTTACCCTAATATATCTTCAGTTCCTTCTCTGATGTCTTTGTCTGATACTGTTCCTTCTTGATCCAGTGCTCAGAAAGGACATTCATGCAAGCAGAACCTAAAATCCACCACCTTGCACAGGATTCCCTCAATACATAAATCCACATTGCTAATAAACATTTCCCAAATTGGTTTGTGGTCATAGATTAATCTAGGTATTGTTTACTTGTTGGTGCTGTAGGCTTAATTTTGACTGCCTTTCACTGAGGGATAGCAACTTGGAGGTGTTCTTCTGATGGATCCTCACATCTCAATTTATTGATGTTGTAAACAAAACTGTCCCATGCACACCAGAGAACAGATTCAATAGGTGCAGCCCACCAGCTTATCTCAGCAAAACTGGAACACACAAATTCTCGAAGCAGTAGCAGATTGCTTTGCAAAACCAGTTAGAGAGTGCAAAAGAGCCTGAGTTTCCTTGGCAGCCTTCCTCAAACCTGTTGGAGTCTCATCATATCATTCTTCATGTCTGAATGTAAGGTCCCCCAACCTTGAATTAGAAACCTTTCTCCTTTTTACTAATGTAGTCCACAGGAAAATTATTCTCTTCTCTACTTCTTGTTTTATCCCACCTGTTCTTCCTGTTCAAACCACCAAACCCTCATGAAGAATTATATACTTTCATTACTAACTTGAGGCCAGAGGTCAAACACAAAATGTTTTTCCTGTACCACACAACCAAGAATCCATTATTTTGACCAAGAACAGAGACAGGCTCTTTTGAATGAAATACAGCTCTAAATCAAACATGGACAAGGCCTTTCAAGTGGACATCCCACAGTTCAGATATTAGCTCTGTTGCTAAGTGATGATAACAGAAGTGTATATAATTTCTGCTTAATCTCTCCACTTTGCATGAACAGCTAAATGGGGAGGAGGAGAATGAAAGAATAAGCAGTGCTGGGAGAGGAAGGAAGTACACCAGGAAGACAGGCCACCACTAATGAATATTTGTGACGCAGGTACACAAAAAATGGGCACATTTTGCTGTCCTGCAGATGTCTGTAAATGTAATTTCCAGGTCAGTGGCATCACATGCTGGTACTAGCATCTGTTTCAGCAGAGGATGACCTGTTGGATCATATACAAATTTATTTTAAATGGTGGCATCCATTTCACAGGCATTTGATCACAGTAAGTACTTAACAGATATGGGCACCAAGCAAGACAGTTGCTCATCTGGGCATTACATGCTTGTGAGAGCAGAGAACTAACTGTGTGTATGTGGCAGGACAAGCCCTGCAGTGAGGCCTCTGTGAAGCACAGAACCATGTGCCTGGCTAAGAGCTGCTGGAGGATATGTGGAGTCAGCAGCCTCAGTCACCAGCTTGGCTCTGCTTGCAGTTCACAGTTTATGGTGCAATGTGCCCAGACATCTCTGGAAGAGTCTGCACTGAGTGCCACATTCAACTTTGGTGTCACTGTGCAGAGGACTACCAGCTACCCAACAAACAGATGAAGATCAAAGGACAAGCCAGTGCCATGACAGGAGGTCACACACAAATGTTTGCAGAACACACACTGCAGTCACAGGTTGCATATAGTTATATATTTTTCTCATTTCTTCTTAAGTTTGATACTTGTTGTTTTGTCCCCAAGTCTAAAACCTGTCAGTACCACCACTGTCTTCTGTTTCCTGTCCATTCTCAACTAGCTTGTCGCTAATACCCAGCCACAGGCCCCCAAGGAGAAGTATGAACTCCAGCCTATTTGGCAATTACTCTTTGGCAGACATCCCCTTCTTTCCTCTAGGCATGAGGCTCTCATCACCTGGCTCCTCAGCTTGACTCTATGGCCCTGTGACCAAGTCTCAATCCCTAAAAAAACCTACCTTGATCAATTCTCTGAACACTTTCATGTAGCCTTATGTATAACTGCATTTAAATCAGCTGCCTCTTTTTCAGTGGTATCTAAATGGAAAGTGAAGGATGGGGGACAGAGAAATAGTATTGACTAAAAATCAATACTAAACTAATAATTTCCTGACATTAGAAGAGGATGCCAGGAAGCTCCTAGCCAAGTCCAGTTATCTGTAGTAAGATCAGTGTTAAACTATCAGCTACTTTACACAGGAAACAATCCTTATATACAGCTCAAGGTTTAAAAACAGCACAGAGAACATGGTCAGTGTTCAGTAATACTTTCTTGCTGAACAGACAAATTCATGTTTACTACAAAGCCTTGCAACTTGAGATGTTTCTGCTTGAGAAGTAATAACTGATTTGCACCTAAAGACACTTACCATGAAAATAAGCATTTTTTTACAAAAAGAGGCTTCAGCACTTTATGAGCTCCACTATACAGGCTCAATGACCCAGCTGAACCTCACTGACTTACACTAAGGTAAGTATTACTTATGGGGCTTATAGGCCCTTCTTTCATGGTAATGGACTCCAAGACTGGTTGCCATTTGAATTGTGTATAAAAGTTCAGCTCATTCCAATTCGGACAGAGCTGCAGGAACAGACCTGCTGTCATTGACACAAGCTGCAGAGTACAGGGTTATAAGCACAAACCAGCTGCAGCCAGCCAGGAGGTATCTCAACCTAGGTTATTCAACTACAGGAAGACCTGTTACTACAAATTGTAAGGAGCGAATTTGTGTTAAGATAGACTTTTTCCTCCCAAAGTAACATTTTCTATAGAAACAAATCTTATCATCAATATTTTATATTTTCCATTTCATCTCTTATTCCTGTTTCAAACTCTCATCCTTAAAATGCTATGTGGCACCTCTGAGGTTTAAGTGTCTTGTATTTTAAGGGCATGTCTCTTCGGTGGCTTCATTATTTCCCACAAACTCTAATCTATGCTCCATGTTACCCATGCAGAAGTATGAGTATACAGAGAGGTGATTATTCCACTAAGGAAGAGATTTCTTTAGATTACAGACAGCACAGACAAAACACATTTCAGACATCTCAAAGTACCTTACAACAGAAAAGACCAAGTTCAACAGTGCAACTAGGATGACCTTCTATCTGATCTCTCTCACTGATAACATCAGCAAGAACAGATTGTTCTGCCACACACAGGTGGAAGAGCTAATCAGGAGCTCTGACCTTCCCTTGACAAATAGGAACTTACAGACTCTAAAATTCAGAATGTTTTAATTATAAATACTCACTTCAACAAGAATAATAGGAAGAAAATCTGCATCAAAGATGATAGAACCTCTCAGCAACACTAGACAAAAGCCATTTACTTGAAGGAGAAAAAGCCACGGTCAAATCCCAGAGTCATATCTAATCTAAAAGGTCTGTCAACTATTCAAAGAAGTGATTGCCAGGAAAACAAACATTATCTCACTTTCCTTGAGAAAATAATCCTGTTTCAGATTGTTCCCTCTCAATGCTGCAGATGCCATTTCGTCTTACCAGTGAGCGTCAAAACACATATGGACTGTAAGGAGCTAAAGCACAACGCAGAGGAACTCTTTTTGTTCATGAATGTCAAGTAATTTTACCAAGCAGATCTATAGATTCATTAACTGCCAGATGATGTGTTTGTAAGCCAAAACTGAACCACTGAGGAAGCACTCAGTAGCACCATTCTCCACTTGATATCACAAGATCCAACTTTTCATAGCCTTGAAAAACAATGTTTTAAGTAATGTCATTGCTATGACTAATCACAGAGACCACCAAATCAACCCTAGCAATTTATGACTCTTGCTTCATGAGATTTTGCCTCATTGAGGTGTTACAAAGCCAGCCTACAAGCTGTAGTGCTATGCTGTACAGATGCCACTACTTAGAACTGGCTTTGTGCTCAGTAAACACAACCTCTGCTGGAAAAGAGGGCTAACCACCTCTTTACTTCAGCTTGATCCCTTTTCAGACTTACCTATGGTTTATAAAGCAAGAAAGCCTACTCCATGCTGAATGAATTATTAGCTCTTGCAGCCTTGACACATATCTGTGTCCAGATAATGAAATTCAGCCATCAAACAGCATCACTGCATGCTGCATGGCCTGAGCAGACCTTTGTCACATTCTAATGGAGCACAGCAGAACCACACATTACAGAAGGGACATGACATCCCAAGATGTTTCGTTTGTCCTGTAATTAAAAAGAATCAACAGGGCTTCTCTATCCTCACACTGGTACACACTACCAAAAGACCTTCTAAAAAGAATTGAAGTAATAATTATATAATTAAAAATAGCAATTCTCATTAAAGAGTTCATACAGCTAAAATCCCTGCCACACCCTCTACCATCAAAGTACCATTGCCACAAAAGTCAACAGAACCTAACCTATACTCCCCTAGAAAGTCATGTTTTCCAAGAGGATTCCTAAAAATGTGCTTTTTTGTAATATTTGTATTCAATACTATTTTGATATTTATCAGCTGTGCAATGCAGCTGTTGGGAAAAAAAAAAAATTAAAAAAAAGAAGCCTGATATTTCAGCATTATGTTGCTGAAAGCAAAGCCAAAAAAATTTGTTGGCCTTTCAACTCCATGACATAAACTGAACTTAAAGAACATAGTATGAATTTCCTACCATCTATAAACAATACATTTGCTTGCTAGCAGCCCTAGATTGTAGCTCACCAATTTAAATTTCTTAGCTTAAATGTATTTCCTTGATCAATTTTTTAATGTCTTAGCTTGAAATTAAAATTTAAAACTTACAGTTGCCACCTCTCACCCAGGCCAACAGAGGGGCAGGAAAAAGAATGAAAGCAAATTACACGAGTGATTTTCCCAAGTAGGTAACTTAGAGATCAGTGAATACCTGCATTTGAAAACAAGTACAACAAAACCAGCTCAGAACAGAATAGTTTACATATTAAAAACAAAAAGCAAAGTGCAAACTGGAGGGAGAGAAAAAAAATACAAAAAATACAAAAGTAAAAAGCATTTGAACACATTACCAGAAAGTCTAAAAATGCAATTTTATTATAGAATCTATTAGGAAGTAAATTGTGTAGTAAGAGAAAATGATGAAACTAATTGGACCAGCTTAAATAGAAAATGTCGTGAAGAAAAAGGCAGGACAGATGACCCCAACCAAAAGACAAAAATATCCAAATTTAACTCCTCAGAAGGGTCCTGAGGATACTGACACAACTAACATTTTACCAGTTACAATCAGGCCATTTCAGGTAGTGGAAAGAAAACCCTCTTTACCTGACACACTAAAACTGAGAAGCGAGATCTCTAACCACATGAAAATCACTAAGATTTCAGAAGTGTTATATTGCAATGAGTCCTCAGTCACTTCCCAGTTTTTCTTCAAGGCAATTACCATGCTCATACTGCAGGCTTTGCTGGGTGTGCCTTCCCTTTGGTACTCTGGCCAGAGCACAAAGAAAAAGGCACTGCAGCACATCTGTACTATTTGTAACCATTCTGGTACTGATTTCCACAATAACTTAGTGTAAACACAGCTTTGAGCTTCAGAGCATTTTTTCTTCCTCCGTTACCCCCAAACAATTACCGCTTTTGCTGACACTAAAAATTGTTAAGGCTTCTCTTGAAACTAGGCTTACCTTCAAAGAACTGCTGCAAGGCCTCATTTTCTCCCACCACATCCATGAAAAGCCAGCAGAAGTGTTTTGCTTTCCTACTACTTGAAGAGCTCCCGCTGGGACAAATGCAGTCTCCTCCAGATGACTATGATCATGTCAAGGAATACATCATGATTTTGTCAGAGATTTCAATGACTTTGTCCCAGCTGATTTTATTCCTCGGTAGCTAGTGTCAGGCTTATACTTAGGCTTTATGTAAAGGACTTCACCTACACATAAAGGAGAATCTAACAAGGCTTTGGAGGCAAGAGATGTGGGTTCTAACCAGTCAATAAGTCTAATGTTCTTGTTTTAAGGACCTTTGGTCCCGGTACTAATTACACATGCGCAAAAAATCCAGCAATAAAAATTACTTATCTTGTCTTTGTACTTTCACACAGGTCATGTAATTAGTACTGCCAATGAAAGCAATAGTAATCAAAAATGCAAGAGCAAAGCCATCAC